GTTGTGTAGGTTGCGAATATATCTATCACAAGAGAAATAATATATATAAAAGGTAAAATGGGGGAGATGTAAACCAGCCTCGCTGCACCATAAACCATAAGTGCTCTGCCACCAGTACAGGCAACTGTCCGCCTGTGTTGCTGTCCGCACATAACTCCGTGGCTACAGTGACGTTCCTCCATTTACCCTAGAGTGTTAACTTTGGTACCCATTTCCTAGAGGCTGGGTGAACCCCGGGAACTGCCTGGTTTCGAACACTGGCTGTGGCTGCAGCGAGTCGCAGCTGGATTTGAAAGCGGGTCTTCTATCCACAGCGCGCTAACACAGCTGAAATGAAGTAATCTTTCACAAATATCACAAAAATTATGTAAGCTGAAAAGCATCTTTCATAATAGAAGAAAAAAAAAATATTATGTAAAGTGAAAAGCATCTTTCATAATAAAAGAAAAAAACATTATGTAAGCTGAAAAGCATCTTTCATAATAAAAGCAAAAACATTATGTAAGCTGAAAAACATCTTTTATAATAAGAGAAATCAGTTATCTATGCAACTAAGGCATCCCTCATAATTACAGAAAAAATGCAACTAAATGGACAATGAATAAAGCACTTTAACGGAAAATAACCACAAGTAAAATGCGCCGTCTCTGCAAGGTCACTAACAACACAAGAAGAGACAGGGTTACAAATACCAGCATTAGGGAGAAAGTTGGAATAAGATGTCTGGATTATATTGACAGGCAAAGAATGAAATGGTTCGGCCAGATCAGACTGCATATGAGACTTTTTACAGTACAGCATTTGAGAGGAAGGCGAGAGGAAGACCAGGAAAGAGATAGATGAATGGTGTAGCTGAAACCTGCAAAAAGATGAATAAATCCATCACTCAAACACCTGAGAAGCACAAGACAAATACAGAAAATCATGACACTGGGGTACAGCCTGGAATCAGTGAGGTGACAAAACCACGACACTGGGCTACAACCTGGTATCAGTGAGATGACGAAACCACGACACAGGGCTACAACCTGGTATCAGTGAGGTGACAAAACCACAACATTAAGCTACATCCTGGTATCAGTGAGAGGACAAAAGAAGAAGAGAAGAATGCAACTAAACTGCTAAAACATTTGCTTACGATCAGGTAATAAATGTATATATGCTGACAAATGAAATTTTCATACACAGAGAAAACAATACATCTTAAATGATAAATAGCAGTTATTTCAGTCCCTACTCTGGTTGAAAAGAAATATTTGAGAACAATGACAAGAATGCTAAGAAACATGCCCCACATCGATCCACTGGTTTGTCCCCTCTGGACTGTTACCTGAAGTTTTACCATAACAAAATACAACCTTTGACCGGTTAGGGTCATGAATGTATATCGATGGAAGCACTATCATATAAAATCCGCCATCTTTCTCTGTCTTCCACTTAATGAATAAGTGTATGATAACTCAGTCCTGTCCATTTCTTGATGTTTTCATTCTAAGTTCTTCTTTGCCCTCCTCTTCTTCGACTACCCCACCCGGTGTTCCTTGAAGTAGTCTTTGCAATCGAATCATGTCTCACCATGTGCCCGAACCAAGCTAGCTTGTGACATTTCGCCACTGCCAAGAGAGGCATTTGATGTTCTGCAAATTTGTTTATTTTGTCTCTGACATATTTGTTAGTTTTGTGTTCTAAATAACTAATTTGTCAAATGCCCACTGAAATTATGAAGGATAATCGGTACAAGGTTTACCATACCAACCTCAGATTAAAGAATCTATCTGGATAGTAGACAAACATGGAAGGTCCCAGATACCCGCTTCAAACTTCTAGAAAAAAAGTTACAATTAGGGCACCCATTACGGCTACATAAGCTAGGCGTAACCTGTAGTCCTGTGTGGATAGGATGATCCACGACTGTTGTTTTTTTTAATCAAAAAAAAAAATTACAAACTTGGACCTTGTTCAACCAGAAATCAGCTTTGGTTATAACTGAGGTCATTGTTCAGTGTTGACTTATTCTGTCTTTGTCTCTCTTTGTGGCCTGGGTCACACCTGATTCTTCTTTTCTTTGGTTGTCGTCCTTGTCTGTCATGGTGGGCTAAGCCCTTGTCTGCTTGGCTTGTCCAGCTGGGTTTGAGTTATGCGTAGTCGCTGTTTGGTGTCCCGTGTATCTGTCGCCTTGATGAAACCATTGTTGCTTAGTCCTGAGTGCCCCCCCCCCCCACCCCGGATGAGTCACTGCTGCCTAACAAGTACATCACTGTCCTTTTCATGAACCATTGTTATTTCTTTAATAAAACGGGACAGTACATGTGAAACATGTAAAGGGATATCTCTTCTTCTTCTTTGTTCACTGGCTGTTAGTTCTGGCCAAAAGTTCTTGTTCGTCCATTTCAACTCTGGCTTTGTGCCAGGGTCTGAGATTTGCATTACATCCATTTCATTGACTTATTTGTGTGCAGTTGGTTGTTCCACTCAGGCACATGCACTCCAACTTCGAACAAAATCTCCAGTTAGTCGACTCCTATGACATCCTTGTTCAGCAGGCAGTGGGTCTATTCTTGTTTTCCCAACAACAACGCCCCAGAATCTACATGGGGATTGAGGGATATGAAAGCTTAGGCAATCTAGCAAGGCATGTGGTGATGATGAGTATCAAACACAACAAATACTCAACATTTCAACTGCTATAGGAAATCATAATACACATTTGTAACATCAACAGCAGATCTTTGAGAAACAAAACAAAACTATTACAATAATACAAAACTAAAAGAAGTAAAACGTTAAAACCTGCTCTGACTATATACCACTGACTAATTTGTAAAAAACAAAGTATTGCATCAATAACATTGCTATTTCCATTCTTTGTAAATGCAGTTTAAAAAAGAAATACTTTATCAACATATACAAATCCTTTAAGGGAAGCAACAAGACTGTACAAACTATAAACAATTCTACCAAAGCTGACCAAGCAGCTTTATTATAAAGTTAAAAAAAAAAAATTAAAAATTGGCTATCCTCCGAATAACGGGCACAAAAGATGGCGGCCGCAAAAACACCCTAACAGAGCCTCAGTCATGTGTCAATTGCGCACTTCCGGCGACTTAATTTGCGGTTTTCCGGCGACTACCGTCACCCTCAAGAGTATCCCCCACGCGTGGAGTGGGGCTAAACTAGATGGCTGGGACTCATGAGCAGCAGCTTCCGCATCTCCTGCAGCTTTGCTCCTGAGTCCTAGCCATCTAGTTTAGCCTCAATCCATGCCGCGTGAGCGCGTGGGTGGTACTCTCGGCAGTGGCGGTAGTCACCGGAAAACCGCAAATTAAATCGCCGGAAGTGCACAGTTGACATGTGACTGAGGCCCTGTTTTTGGCCGCCATCTTTTGTGCCTGTTATTCGTAGGATAGCCAAACATTTTTCCAGCTAGACAAATTAGTATATAGTGCTAGACACATAATTGTATTGACCAGTAATTCCTAAACCTCGCACCGCGGTGCCTCAGGGAGCCGCAACCTCTTCAAAGGGGCGCCGCAAAATATTTGAAGATACACGAGTTTTATTTGTTTTGATCTATTACATATGTAAAGTCATACTTTTACATAGGTTAGGGCGCAGCGGAAACATTGTAATTCAGTTTGGGTAACACCGGTATAGACCAATCAGCACTCGATGGGTGAGGTGGTCACCAATACCCTGGTTACATTTGCTTCCCAGAGAGCAAAGGTCAATTTTTAAAATTTGTCTTGATGTGAATTCAAACCTTTGACCGTAGACCTGTTCAGCTACAAACAATTATACAGAAAGCACACTAAAAGCTATATTTGCTGCCCTCAAATTACAACACTGTTTTCTTGGGTGTCTCTAAACTCTTGCCTCATCGGAAATAAAGAATAAGTGTGTTAAATTGATGGCAATGTGGATTTACTGCATAGAGTTCACAATAATTTTTTAAAAAGCATCAACCTTTGCATCACAAATGATGGAAAGCAAATTAAAGACATTTAATATTCCAACTGAACAAAATGTTGCTAATAAAGTTCATTTCTAAAAAAATATACACAATACACATTTCTGTAATTCTAGCAAGACTACTGCAGTAGTTAAAAATGCAGCGTACAAACTACATTTCCTGCCTGTAATTCTACCAAAGCTTCCACAGCAATTACATGGGCTGGTTACAAACTACACAATTTTTTTCCTGTGATTCTAGCAAAGCTACTGTAGCAGTTATAAACTGTGCCCACAAACTACATTTTCTTTTTTGTGCTTCTACACAAGCTGTAATAGCAGTTACATGTGCTACATGTGCTACTTACAAACTACATATTAATTCAGTATTTCTACCAAAACTACCATAGCAGTTGTATATGCTGCTTTCAAACCATAACATACCATGTCATGCTTAACTCTATCGCTCTAGAAAAATGACTTCCATTCGGGTCCTATTCCCCATAAAAGTCACTTCACTGACTTGCTAAAGTGATTAGTCCCAGAGAAACCTAGTTAATAAACACTGGCTGTGTTTGCCTCTATGAAGCGTTTAGTATGAATATGTTTACCAAAAATAGTGTTCAAGAAGAGGTTTTTGTTGTGAACCAAATGGATTTTTTTTTCAAAGCCACTTTGACATATTCCTGTAACCTCAGTAATGGAGGTCAGCCTAAGTAAAGTTGTAGGCCCCAGGGAGCTAACCGTACAAGAAGCAATGGCAAACTACTGAACGTAAAATTTGCCTTGAAAAAACACAACAGCCAAAACAATTCTGGGGCTGGTTCTGCAATTTGCTGATACGCTACTATTAAATGATTTTTTATGCAGATTAATAGATAAACATAACTTTTTAAATTTATAATGGCCTGAGTCAAGTGGTTATTTTTAAAGATTTTTTTTTTTAATTCTCAAGGTATCTTGAACTTTTTTTTAAAAGAGTTCATGGGTCACAGGGTTAAAACATTTCTAAAACCACTACAGCATTCTTAATAATCATAACATTTTCATAACTACCATTTGCTGTTCTTATTAGCGTACTGCTCCATACGTGCAGCAGATATGTACGCTGTTCCTAGCTTGCGCTGAAAGCCAAAACTGTGCACTGCAACTTCCACCTCATACTCCCCCAACTTAACATCAATTTTCCCATCTCTGTCCAGCAGAAGGCATATGGTGTAGGCAGCAACTTCAAACTCGGGACTCGTGCCAATAAACACACTACACATTGGTTTGGCTTTAATACCCTTCCATGTGAACTGCACAGCCATTAGCCGGACTATGTCGTCATCTTGCACCTACAATGAAAATAATAATAATAATACATTTAGTCAAGGAAGCCATGGAGCGCAGTGACTAGACACCTGTCTGCTAGCTTCAAGGTCTTGGGTTCAAATCCAATTTGGGTTTATTTTTTAAACAATCTTGGTTACCATTTGCACCAAAATGGGTACAAGGATATACTGTGGGAATAAAGGTGGCAAGGATGATGTTATCGACAAACACCAATGCTGGGAAAGAGTATGTTATTACAATTTTTTAGTATAATTTGCTGCGTATCCTTTACAGGATGCCATTAACTAACCCCATATTTATTAGGCGTCTGTGGTTTTGCAGGCAGTTTTATGGTCAGTAGTAAGCACTGATTTCTAAACAGTTGTTCAATTTTTTTTCTTTGCATTTACCAGCCATGAATTCTGGCGCAAAGTTCTGATTGTTCACTGACTTCTTGACTCTAGTTGTGTTCCAAAAATTGAGTTTTGCATGCACATCTGTTTTACAGATCTGCTTTTTTTGGATGGTTCTTTGCATGTCAGGCAGATGCACCCTGACTTCAAAGGAAACAGCCTTAATTAGTTTTTTTCTCGACATAGTTGTTGGAGGGGGGAGGGGGTGGAAACAGTTGTCTATTCCTAACCCCCCACCCCAAAAGGGTCCTAGAACCTCACAGGAATTCTAAACAGTTTCATGCTGATCACACTCACCAAGCAGAAAATCCGGTGTACAAATCTTCACTCCCATCACGGCTCACTAGAATGTCCCTCTTTCCCTTTCCAATTTTCTCACCTCAAAAACGTTCAGGCCCAGAGTGTCCTGGATATTCTGTATCCACCGTCATGATGCCTCTTCCTCCAGGAACCACTTTCCTCTCAACACCATTATGGCATTTTAAATGGCTAAAATATTTCAGTAACAAGAAACTATACTATTTATGAGCCAGTTGTCTTTGATATTCAGATTATAAAGAATATCAATGTTGTTTATTTTTCTTTATTCATGATACTCTGAAAATCATCTTGCAAAATTTAAATTTATAGGCCCCATGTTTCGTCTTTAGTGACATTTCTCACCAGCATCATCAGCATCATCATCATCATCATCAATATCATCATGTAACACGTCTTTGCAGAATGTCGCTCTCATTACAACCTGACTGACAAAAACTTGGTCTCTTGCCAGATCTTCTGCCTCGTGCACTTTTCCTATCCAAGTTGTAACTTATATCCTGTGCTCATCTAGTTAGTCACTACCCCTTTTTCCTGGCACCATGTCTTCTGCTGCTATTCTTTCCAATCAGCCGTGGCTCATGATATGGCCAAAATATTTCAGTTTCCAGGACAAGATGCTGTTTACTAGCCAAACTACTGTGATGTTCAGATCTTTTGGGATGGTGGTTTGTCTTTTCTTCTTGGTTCATGGTATTCTGAGAATCTTTCTACAGCATTTCAGTGACACTTATACACACCGCTGTAGACAACAACACACCAGCCACCATTTCAGTGACACTCACACACTCAGCTGTAGACAACAACACACCAGCCACCATTTCAGTGACACTCACACACTCAGCTGTAGACAACACACCAGCCACCATTTCAGTGACACTCACACACTCAGCTGTAGACAACAACACACCAGCCACCATTTCAGTGACACTCACACACTCAGCTGTAGACAACAACACACCAGCCACCATTTCATTGACACTCAAACATTCAGCTGTAGACCACAACACATCAGCCACCATTTCAGTGACACTCACACACTCAGCTGTAGACCACAACACACCAGCCACCATTTCAGTGACACTCACACACTCAGCTGTAGACAACAACACACCAACCACCATTTCAGTGACACTCACACACTCAGCTGTAGACAACACACCAGCCACCATTTCAGTGACACTCACACACTCAGCTGTAGACAACAACACACCAGCCACCATTTCATTGACACTCACACATTCAGCTGTAGACAACAACACACCAGCCACCATTTCAGTGACACTCATACACACAGCTGTAGACCACAACACACCAGCTCCCATTTCAGTGACACACATACACTCAGCTGTAGACAACAACACACCAGCCACCATTTCAGTGACACTCATACACTTAGCTGTAAACTACAACACACCAGCCACCATTTCAATGACACACATACACTCAGTTGTAGACCACAACACACACCAGCCACCATTTCAATGACACACAAACACTCAGCTGTAAACCACAACACACCAGCCACCATTTCAGTGACACTCATACACTTAGCTGTAAAGCACAACACACCAGCCACCATTTCAGTGACACTCATACACACAGCTGTAGACCACAACACACACCAGCCACCATTTCAGTGACACTCATACACACAGCTGTAGACCACAACACACCAGCCACCATTTCAATGACACCCATACACACAGCTGTAGACCACAACATACCAGCCACCATTTCAATGACACACATACACTCAGCTGTAAACCACAACACACCAGCCACCATTTCAGTGACACTCATTCAATTAGCTGTAAACCACAACACACCAGCCACCATTTCAATGACACTCATACACACATCTGTAGACCACAACACACACCAGCCACCATTTCAGTGACACTCATACACACAGCTGTAGACCACAACACACCAGCCACCATTTCAGTGACACACATACACTCAGCTGTAGACCACAACACACCAGCCACCATTTCAATGACACACATACACTCAGCTGTAGACCACAACACACACCAGTCACCATTTCAATGACACACAAACACTCAGCTGTAAACCACAACACACCAGCCACCATTTCAGTGACACTTATACACTTAGCTGTAAAGCACAACACACCAGCCACCATTTCAGTGACACTCATACACACAGCTGTAGACCACAACACACACCAGCCACCATTTCAGTGACACTCATACACACAGCTGTAGACCACAACACCCCAGCCACCATTTCAGTGACACTCATACACACAGCTGTAGACCACAACACACACCAGCCACAATTTCAGTGACATTCATACACACAGCTGTAGACCACAACACACCAGCCACCATTTCAGTGATACACATACACTCAGCTGTAGACCACAACACACACCAGCCACCATTTCAGTGACACTCATACACACAGCTGTAGACCACAACACCCCAGCCACCATTTCAGTGACATTCATACACACAGCTGTAGACCACAACACCCCAGCCACCATTTCAGTGACACAAATACACTCAGCTGTAGACCACAACACACACCAGCCACCATTTCAGTGACACTCATACACACAGCTGTAGACCACAACACACACCAGCCTCCATTTCAGTGACACTCATACACTCAGCTGTAAACCACAACACACCAGCCACCATTTCAATGACATTCCTACATTCAGCTGTAAACCACAACACACCAGCCACCATTTTCAGAACAAACACGATGACGAATTTGACTTTCCAAACTGAAGATTAAAAACAGGTTACTTACTGTCTGTCTGCGGAAGTATCCATGGTAATTGATGTTGCCTGCTTTCTCTTGTAGGTAGAACTGAATCCAGTTGTGCAAGCCAATCATTTCTGTGCCACGGCCCTCACCAACAAAGACATGCTCAAAGCTTGATGAATCATTACCCCTGTAAACACACCATTAAAACATCAACTGGGTGCCATCTTCAAAACAAAATGATGAATCTCCGATGCTCTTTCTCTCTCTTTCTGGTTGTACACTCTGAAAGACTGCTGTTTATCCATCTCCTGATATCACCACACTTATATCAATGTCCACCTCTTGCTAGCCTGCATTCAAACATTCTCTCCAGTATTATATCTTTTAATATGTTTTATTATTTCATGCACCTTTTTTTTTCAATTTAATTCAACAAGTCTCTTTAAATTTTCTGTTTCTCCGGAGCTTCTGTATTTAACCCTGTTGTCTGAGAAAGCCGTTTTTCTGGCATTTATGGGTTTTGGATGACATGAAATCTTTAGGCAGTGTACAACTACCTATATGACAGCAAGGGTACTGGTTGCAATTACACCGATTGTAAATGTGGTGGGTTTGATTATACTGTTAACATTTTTTTAAAATTAGATTTTATTTGGGGTGAAAACAAACCATTTTAAATTGTGATGTCACCTTTAGGTCACAAAAATCTCACCATGACACTACTGTGTTCCATGCAGCTAGGTCAATAAAACCACATTTTTCATGGTCAAAAGGAAGGTTCATTCTTTGCTCTGTTTGTATTTAGTGACTAATTTCCTTACCGAAAACTATCTGGCTCATAAAAAGTCATTAAAAAACAAATTAATATGAATTTGTTTATGATTTGACGGGCGTGACGTAGCAGTGGCCACCTTGATTGTCTGTGTGCTCTGTGGTCACAGGTTTCAATCCATTAAATAAAAATAAAAAAATTATCAGGATTCCAAATTTCTTCTGCTTCTTCTTCCTCCTAGCATACAACATCACAACATCTAACATGAGAATGGAGGTGGAGGTGGTAACTGCAGCTCTCCGGTGGCTAGAGAACAAAATGCATGCACATGTCGTAATTGTAGCAGACTCTGAAAGCATGCTGAGAAAGGTGAAGACAGGGATGCTTCGAGCAGAGTGGCAAGCTTCACTGGAAAGGTCACGGGTAGTGAGCATGCTTTAGATCTTTTCTCCAGACCATGTCGGCATAGTGGGTAATAAACAGGAGGACAGATTGGCTGGATCTGCACCATTGGGTGGTGAATTGATACATGACAAGGCAGATGTAGTCAAGGCCCTTTGTGAACAAGCAACAGAATCAGCTGAGAAACAAGATTATTGGAGAGAGAATGAGGCACCTGAGTGTTGACGAGGGTCTGGCCGGTTCACTACACTCAGAGGAAGGCAAAATGGACACATAACCAGATTGTGACCTGTACCATCAGTACTGGAACTCTGCACTGGCTGCTGAAGATGAGGACGGAGCACACATGGGAATGCCCTGAGGGCTGTGATGTCAATTCTTGACAACTCAACTCTTTCTCTAGTTTCTTAGGATAAAATTTCAGTGAATTATAAAGATTAACAAGATTCCCTCCAAATATGGGATGCAAGTTTTTGTTATTTCAAAGCCCCAGAGGCCCTCATTTATCCTAACAGCTCAGAGGGGTTTCTTTGAATAGTGCACGGGAAAATTCTCATCCGAATGGTGGCACTTTGTGTCATCAGGTATTAATCGTTCATTGTGCAGTCCTAGTGGGGTTGAACGTCAGTCACACACTGATTACAAGGATATGGTCTTTTTTAAGAATATTTTGAAAAAGGCTGTTTTTAAAGATTTTTAATGGGAAAAAGGGTTAATTCCATTTGTTTCTATGAAATGCAGTTTTATTCTGTATATCTACATTTTCAGAGCCTCAACTGAATTTTTCTAACTGCTTCTTTATTGTCAATATTTATGTGCCATATAGTAGAGTTGAGCATTCACAGCATTTGACAAATCTCGTTTTCAATGTGTTGTTTTTCTTTAAGTCTTAGTCTTAGTCAAGGTTTTTTCACTGCAATCAGGTCACCCCATACTTGCTCCTTTCCTGTGCCAGTCAAACTTAAAAAACTGGTGAAGAAATAATTAGCGACGGCATAATCCAGAAATATGTGTGTGCAGTAAATGTATATGGCAATTGCTAGAGGCTCCATAACCAACAGTCATCACCAGAAATGTAGTCTGCCGTTGATGGAAGTAGGTAGGTACGATAAGTTTGGCTATGCACACATAAAATTATTACATAAGGTATTTCACCAGCCCGCATGTAAACCGGCTACTGGCCATATTTAATACCACATCTCAACGGCTGAACAAATGAAAGGCATTCCACGTGAACATAGCTCACATGGCTGCATTCATCTCTATAAATGTTGAGGTTTTTCTCACTTTGTTGGAAATGTGTTTGCCATTTCTAATTTCTTTCTGCTTTCTATTTCGCTCCTAGCATCATCTGTTTCTAAATCTGTTAGTCCCAATTAGAGCCATGTTCTCCTGAGTGCATCACAAACATTGTACTATGTGCCTCTTAATTTTACCTTTGGTCAACACATAGTTAAGAAATCTGCCCAATTGGGGCAAATTCTGTCAACTTGATGTTCCTACAATATATAGGACCTGGACCAGTTTTGTTTTTGTTGGATTATTCATTTTTTATTTTAGAAGTCATCTGTGACTTACTTAGTTAAAAATCCAAGATAGAAAAGCTTGTTTTGTTTGCTAGTATCTCTGTTTACTGCAATATTTAGGAAAGAGATGATCATAAAACATAAATATTTATTTATTCACCAACCTGGCCCCCTTTCTCCTGAAGAGCTTGAACCAAATGTCATGAAGCATGTCCTTAAACTTGTCCTCATCTGCCGGAGCAGCGTTCTTCGACACCAAAAACTTGTGAGCTTCCTGCATGACTTTAGTTTCCATGATCGCATCTAGGAAAGTATAATTCTCTTGCTTCTCTGCCCAGGTCACCACCTCCTCCTCTCCAATTTCCATCTCATAGTTGTCAAGCAGAGCATGAAATGCTGCATTAAACAAAGAGGGTGAAAAAAAAATATTGAAATAAAAAAATATTGCTGTTAATTTAATTAAGGAGGAGAAAAAAAAACAATACATTGCACAGTTAACTGCCTAACACAGTGGTTCCCTTCTTCTTCTCTTTCTTCTTCTTGTCTAGTCCTGTATTGCCTTTCAGTGTTAGGCTTTGAAGAGGCATAAGTTGACAGTCTTGGTATGTGCTGCGTAGATGATGGTTTTTATGTCCTTGTATACTCCATCTATCCATGAAAGCACAGTAAACCGCCAGGTCTGGCTCCATTATGTCCAAGTGACAGGGCTCTCTGTGGGGCACAGTTTAGTGCTAGTCTTATGTACAAATCATCAGATCTGTTGTCTCTTGATGTATTTTAATACTGGTTCCATCCCAACTTTTATTTCCTGATATTGTCATTTCTGATCCTGTCTCTTCTGGTTACATTTAGGATTCCCCATAGACATTGAATTTCTGTAGATTTGATTTTTCTGTTGTCTTTTGTTTTTTGTTTTTAATGTCCATGTTTGGCACTGATAACACAATGTTAGTAAAAAAAGTGGCTCTCAATTAGACAAAACTCAGGACCCCTCTAAATTTCAAAGGTCTGCCACAGACCCAATACCTTTAAGTAGCTATAATAAAGAACCTTTTATATCATTTATAAACATTATAACTGTGAAAAAGATTGCATTCTAAAACGCGAGAGAGAGAGAGAGAGAGAGAGAGAGAGAGAGAGAGAGAGAGAGAGAGAGAGAGAGAGAGAGAGAGAGAGAGAGAGAGAGAGAGACGGACATACAGACAGGCAGAGTGTGTATATTTGTGTGTGTGTCTCAGCGTGTATGTCTCTCTCTCTCTCTCTCTCTCTCTCTCTCTCTCTCTCTCTCTCTCTCTCTCTCTCTCTGTGTATGTGTGTACAAAATACCAACAAAAAATGAAAGTTTTGATCAAAATCTTATTCTGCAGATAATTATTACTGATTTAAGAATCTTCCTTTGTGGGGGTACCAGAGCCCCATCTGGGGATTCACTGCCCCTCCCCCCGTTTTTTCAAACCAACAAGCATGTCCTAAAAGGCTATCAGGATGTTTTTCTTCAAAGTCCGTATGCAGGTACACTGAGAGGCAAGGGGCCAAAAGCATGCACACAAATAAGCCAGATCTGTAAAACGAAAATGCACGCAAAACTCAAGTTGTGAAACAAGATTAAAAAGCGGACGGACAAAGAGAACTTTTAATGCTCAGTTTACAGCCGATGAACACTCACAAGAAGAAAATGAAGATTTAACTCCTTCTGTCTGAAACAATGCACTACAAGTGCTCAACTTATGCCTAAGTGTACCAAAACTTGTTTTTGAAGAGGCAGCTGCTCAAAGACAACTTATCACAAACACCAGAAAAAGATAGTCATTATTTTTTGTCATGTTATGCGAAGAGGGAAAATGGAACATGTTGTAACCACTGGAAAGATCTGTGGAAAGAGAGACAGAGGAAGACAGCGCGAGAAGATGCTTGACAGATTTCTGTCATAGCATGGAAGAGGTGTCAACACACAGACTGATACATGCAGTTGTGGATCACTGATTGTGGAGAGGCATGATCGCCCACCCCAGTCGGCAAGGTACTTATTATACATAAACTTTATAGATTTTTTAAAGGCCTTTGACAGTCTAGATAGAACAATGATGTGCAAGATCCTTGCTGCGAATGGGTTACCAGATCAAGATATTAAGATTTTTAAAGGGCTCTATGAAGGATACCAAAGCAAAATGAAAGTAGGACTCATGGAAACTGAATGCTTAGGGTAACATCAGGAGTCCGTCAAGGGTGCATTCTGTCACCTTTCTTGTTGCTCATAGTGACAGATTATGTTACAAAGAAAGCAACCACAGACACACGGATGGGCCTTAAGTGGAACCTTCTCGAACACCTGGAACATTTGGTATTTGCAGATGATATCTGTGTCCTCAGCCAAAGTAAAGAACACCACGACAAAAGATAGATAAGATCACAGAAATAGCAAAACAGACAGGGTTAAAAATCAATGTCAATAAAACAAAACTGCTGGAGATAAACCCCAAAAGATCAAACATCTACAGCACTAAAACTAAACTCAGAATATACAAAACATGCATTAGGACAGTTCTCCTCTATGGAGCAAAAACTTGGAAAACAGACAGAAAGAGAGAGAGCATGCTTGGAGGTTTTGAGGGAAGACTTCTCAGAAGATTGTTGGGGTTCACATGGGAAGATAAAATCGGAAATTCTAGATTACAACAAATGACAGACTTTGAAGATCTAAGTTTAGAAATTTAGAGAGGATGGCTCAGGATCGAAATGAGTGGCAACAGTATGTCTCTGCCTTATGTGCCCCTGGGAGGAATGGGGATTGATTTACTGAACCAGCTAGTCGGCATCTGAGGCTTAGGAGTTGCAAACACACTTCGTAATGCCAGGGATGCTAGGTTCGATCCAAGCTGCAGATGATTTGCCATGCACTGATTCCTTAAGTGGTACCGAAAGCTGACCATTCAGAAGGTAATGGCAAAAATGGCCAACTACTGAACATAAAATTTACCTAGAAAAACCACAACAGCAAAAAGAATTCTGCATTTGGTTCTGCAACATCCTGTAAATGATACAAAGCTAACTAATCAGCTGACCGTCCATGATTCCCTTCCATTCATCAGGATTGGCTGTAAATAACTTTTTAAGTACTCCCTCTTTCTCTCACCTCAGTTGACAAACATGGACTGCAAAATGGTATTGTTATTATCTTCACATTATCTTCTACTTTCACACGTAACTCTTTCAGTACCAAACAACGAATCATACCTTTTCTGGTCACTCCTAAGATAACATCTTATGACAGACCCATGTCATATTAACCCTATATTTCTGATTAAGTAGTTGACCTTTTCCTGTCCCACAGTGTCTCTGTTGTACTCTCTCAGGTCAGGCTGAATTATTTTTTGATCCGACGCTCAAGTCTTTTGGAAATAAAACGTTAAAGACTGAACCACTGGGTACTGAAAGAGTTAGAAGGACATGCTGCACATGCTGTGGTATACAGCTAGGCTGTGATATCTGTGTGTTTTAGCCCAACTCATCCAATATGTACAAACTTCTCATCAGTCACCTTTTATGATATGCTTGTTAGCGGCAGGGGGTCTAGTCTACCCCTCCCCCACCCCACCCGCCAAAAAGGGCTCTAGAACCCACATAGGGAATAGTCGTTATTATTATAATAATTCAACAGTCTAACCTTTATATGTTGGACGGCTAAAAACCTTGTCTTCATCAACCCATGTGAAGAGTTTATGCCTGGCAAAATCTCCTCTCACTTCTCTTGAGCTGTTGACGTAGCCTTAAAATAAAAATAAACATATACATATAAGCAAGATTCTTCTTCTTCTTTCGTTCGCATGAAATAAATTATCTATATCTGCAATGCTGTCTCTTGTATGAATTTCACTGTCTTTTGTAATTCACTAAGCGGCCCGTGAAGTTTGACTTCCACAAGTGTCTCTTTTGGCCAAAGGTTTTGCCTGAAAGCGTTGAATCTGGGACAGTCTTGAAGGATGTGATCTGTTGTTTCAGGTGCCAGTCCACAAATACACATGGCTGATTGGCCAATCTTAAATTTGTTGTACATATGGCAGCGAAGTTGATTGTGCCCTGTTCTAAGGCGAAGGATAATGACTTGCTCTGGTCTGTCCATAATATGGTAATCGTCTTGTGTCAGTTTCGGTAGCATTCTGATTGATTTGATCATTCTCTTCTTCTGTTGATAAGAGACTGGTATGTCAGGTTGTTCTTCAGTTGCACCTTCCTTAGCTAGTTTATCAGCTCTTTCGTTTCCAGGAACTCCACAGTGGGAAGGTATCCACTGCATTACTAAATTACAACGGTCGCCTAGTTCGGATAATAGTGTCCGTATGCTTGGTAATTTTCCAGACTGGAGTGACTGAAGTACCGCATTCGCATCTGTCAGGAATACTACTGGTTGTGAAAAATACCCTGTATTTAGTAGTTTCTCTGCCGCTATCTTGATGGCTTGAACTTCTGCATCATAGTTGTGACAGTGCTTTCCTGTTGGTATTTTGGCTGTATCCCTGGTATTATTAGGATACTCAATGTACACTCCTGCACCTCCGTTTCTGACTGCGCTTTCTGCTGACCCATCTGTGTAAACACGGACCCATAGTTTATGTGGGTATTCATCATCAAGTAGACTGAGGGTGGCTGTTTTGCGCTGCACACTGTTTTGTTCTTCCTTGTGAAATACCCCTTTCACTTCAGTCTTGATGTGTATAGGAAACTTATACTCCTCTCTCCAGGGGGTCTGTTCTGGGACAGCATTTAAGGATCTATCAGTTGCAGGCAAATCAGTGATTTGTCTGCCCAGTTGTTTGGCCTGGTGGATAAAACTACTTCTATTTAGTCGTCCCAAAGCCAAATTTTGGAATCTTTCATTCATGGGGTGACTGGGCATACTAAGAAACTTTTCTGCTTGTAAAAGCATCTTGGTGTCTCTGCGTTCACTCAGTGCTTGGGTCATACCCATTTTCTCCATCACCGTTATAGGTGTTGATTTCATACTGCCTGTGGTAACTCTGAGTGCTTGATTTTGCACTTTGTCTAATTCTTGCAATGTGGTTTTTGATGCCGAACTCCATGCTGTTGATCCGTATTCAAGATGTGGTCGAACACTTTGTTGGTAAAGTATTTTCCCGCTAGCACCCCATGTGGTTCCACTTAGTTTTCTCAGAATGGCTACCCTCCTTCTGGCTTTGGTTGTTGCCCTGTTGATGTGTTTTCTCCATGTTAACCTATCATCAAACGTTACTCCGAGGTATGTGGGTTCCTTATCCTCTCTCAGGGGTACTCCATTTATGTGTATGACGCCTGATTTTTGTTTAGGAATAAGGGTAAAGAGGGTGGTGCTGCATTTGCCTATGTTGATGCTGACACACCATTTGTTGGCCCATTTAGCCATTGCATCTATGACTCTTTGTAGCAGTCTGGTGGCCACTGTTGCATGTTCATTTGTACACTAGAGTACCAAGTCATCAGCATACATTGCAGCTTTAATTCCATGGGGTAGTTAAGAAAGCAGGTCGTTGATATAGACTAGGAAGAGTGTGGGGGACAGGACACCTCCTTGTGTTACGCCATGGCGCAGCAAAACTTCTTTACTCTTAAGTCCATCTATCTGTACTCGGGATCTTCTGTTATACAAGTATGCTTTCATCCATTTGTACATACTCATATTCACTCTGCAGTCTCTCAGTTTCTTCAGTAGACCTTCTTTCCAGACCTTGTCAAAGGCTTTCTTCAGATCTATCCATGCTGTTAGCACTAGCTTTTTTTCCTGGAAGGCATCCTCAATTTCTTGTGAAAGGTAAGTTGACTGGTCTTCTGTGGAGTAGCACTGTCTAAATCCTGCCTGCTGCGGCATGATAATGTTTTCACTTTCCAAGTACCATTAGAGTCTAAGGTTGACAATACGTTTCATTGTTTTACAGAGGCAGCTGGTAAGACTGATCGGTCTATAGCTAGAGGTATCAGAACTGTCCTTTCCTGGTTTAAGCAGAGGTATTGTAATTGCTTCTCTCCATATCTGAGGAACTTTGCCACTGGTCCAACAATGATTAAAGATCTGTAGCAGCTTTATTTTGGCAGTTGTTCCAAGGTTCTTGATCATTTCGTTGGTGATACCATTAATTCCAGGTGATCTTCCCATTCTCAGCTTTGATATTGCTAGCTCTAACTCGCTGGATGTAAATGCCGCCACCAGTGCCTCAGGAATTATAGCATTTTGTCTTGTTTGTCTTGTATGCTGTTTGTTCTCTCGAACCTCTCGCTGTTTCTCTGGGCTGACATTAATGTTGCTGTTTTCTGCAAAAGAATCTGCAAAGTGGTCAGCTGCCTGTTTTCTTGTTAGGATGGCTCCCTCTTTGCATAGTGCAATATTACCATTTCTTCCTGTATTCTTGTCATTAATTTGTTTAATTAACCTCCACAACTTCCTTGTGTCTCTTTCAAAGTTTAGAGACTTTGTCTTTTCCTGCCAGCTTGTCCGTCTAGCCTGCAGTTTGGCTCTTTGGAATTTGGCCTTTGAATGTTGATAGTTGTTGAACTGCTCCTGACAAGGTCTGGTCTCAGCTTGAACAAGATTACCATAAACAAAAACATAATTATTGTTAATTTTAAGATCATCTTTATCACACATCAGACATGACCATAAGTGCTCCAATCCAATCCTGAGTATGTCTCTAAGTGTATTTAGGCTAACAGCTCCCATTCCGTTCTGGCTGCAGCAATGACAGGTGGCTCCAGTATGGTTTTCTTGTCTCACTGCTCTAATTGGTACACCCATGGTATGCGGTCTTTTTAGTGAAAAAATCATTTCTCACAAAACTGAAAGCCTCACAGCGTTTAGTCTCTCATATGGCACTGATGATGTCTCTCCTGTCCATAGATGGCCTATTCGTGATAGTCGCACTGCCAGCCGGGGTGTCGGTTCTCTCATTGCCTTTCACACCAGCATGCCCTGGTATAATATAATCAGTCAATCAATCACAAAATCAATTTGTCCAAAGAAATTAGCAAATTCACAAGTGCCTACAGGGTCAGCTCTGTTCTACTACTGCTAATATGTGCATACTGACCAAAGTTAAACCTCAAGATCTTCTTCTGCAATTATCCTTAAAAGGGCAGTGCTATGGTTTTCAGCTAGGCTGCAATATATGTTTCTTCTAAGCCTAACACATCCAATTTAAACAAATCCTTAAGCAGTAGCCTTTTATAGCATACTTGTTAGAGAGGGGGTGGGTCCATTATTTTTTCCCCACAAATGGGGCAGAACACATATGGGGGACCTCAAGATCTGAGGATTAGGTTGGTTAGGTTTATGCAAATCTCCCCAAACAAGGTAGGTCACTTTTCATTCACAAGTTTTTTGAGCTGGTCGACTTTCCTGAAGGTTACGGGTGTGTCCCGCTCTATTGTTTGTTTTCTGTCTTGTGCATTTACGTTTTCATTCCGAGAAAAAGAATGCCTGTGACACAGGTTACAGCACTCTCTAGGGGTTGTGTTAGAGCCAGTTGCTCCAAGTTTTTGGAGCGTTAAAAGTGCTGGCGTGCTGAAATATACAACACACGATATCAACGGCATCACGGAACACCAATGTAACCTTGTGCCAAGGTGACAGGTTCAGGAAATAACCAATCAGAAGTAACCTAGAGTTTATTTGTGCGGGGTGTGGGAGGATTAACATTACTTTTACCAACTGGTTTGTGAGTACAGGTGTTCTGGAGAACCTTAGGGGTCATCGTTGGAGAAACAGAATTGTAATCCTTTGTGCAGCAATCTCGGTTAGCCACTGACCACTTTACACTCAGAGACTGAGCCATATGTAATAAATTATGGTACAATCCTCTCTCTTTTAAGCGCCTTTTTAACCACGTAGGGGGAGACAAAACAGACAAACTGCTCCCTAAAGAACATGTCATAAAAATTGACTAATTAGAAGTTTGCTGAAACTGGACTTGCTGGGATGAAAGCCACAGACATCACAGCTTAGCTGTAAACCACATGCCAAAAACCCTTTTAAGAGTGAATGCAGAAGAAGATAAAAACACCTTTCTAAACATGCAAAAGATGATATGGCCTGGATACATGTTTTAACAATGGTTTAGGACAATGTAGGAAACCATAATTATGACTATGATATGTACTTTAATTTACATGCTAGAACATGCTGATATCACAGGCAAAGAAAGGGTAGAATCTTTGATGGTTTGGCTAATTTGGAAGGTCAATCAATGGGGTGAGCAAATTTCTTAGTTCTTTCAGTCCCAACAACAATGCCCCATATATGACCTGATTTGCTCATATGTGACTGGAGTTCCTCATATGTACCAGTCAACATATTATTATGCTTGTATATTTTATGTACAGTCAGGGAAAACTATAACACTCAATGGCACATTTGTGTCCCACAAGGGATGTTAAAATACTTAACCCCACATTTGTGTCCCACAAGGGATTTTAAAATACTCAACAGCACATTTGTGTCCCACCAGGGATGTTAAAACACTCAACAGCACATTTGTGTCCTACAAGGGATGTTAAAATACTCAACAGCACATTTGTGTCCCACAAGGGATGTTAAAATACTTAACAGCACATTTGTGTCCCACAAGGGATGTTAAAATACTTAACCCCACATTTGTGTCCCACAAGGGATGTTAAAATACTCAACAGCACATTTGTGTCCCACCAGGGATGTTAAAACACTCAACAGCACATTTGTGTCCTACAAGGGATATTAAAATACTCAACAGCACATTTGTGTCCCAC